AAATATTTTACCTTTTGTATACATTTAAGTAAGGTACATCTAAAAAAAGTAAAAAGAAAATTACTTAAAAGTTTAAAAACATTCACTAAAAACAAAACAAAAAAAATACGCAAAAATAAAAAAATTAATTCAAAAAAAATTAAATTCAAAAAATTAAAACCAAACACAATAAATAATTTTTTTTTTGGGGGGTATATACATGAATAATTTTCAAATTTCACCATCAAATCAATGTGTTGAAACTGACACTTTAGTCTTTTTAGAATAATGGCAATGAAAATAAGACAGTTTTGAAAACGCATAGCTTGTCTATTTAAAGAATGTATAATATAATTATATTTATATTTTACTTATATTTTCTTTTTTTTTAAATCTCTCTCAAAATTTATGAATCAAATACAATCTTAGGAATAATTACAAAAAAAAAATCTAAAGATTTGAGTCTTGTAATAAAATAAATCTTGAATTTTTAATTCCATCAATTTAAATTTTAATATTTTGATTAGTTTTTAATTTAAATTATTTATTTATTTTCATTAAGTGAAACTGACAAAAATTAAGTAAAATTATAAGTCTTTTAAATCCTAGAATGTTTTTTATAATTTCGCCAAACATTTATGAAAGGCTACAGGCTTGTTTGGTTTGTATCTCAAAATAATTTTTGAGAAATTTTTTTAAAATTTTGTTTGGTTCAAATTTTTTGAAAAAAATTTCTAAAATCACTTTAGCTCTCCTACACATCAATCAATCACTTTTTTTTTCTTTTTTTTTCTCAATCATTTTTTCTCTCACACATATCTACTCAACTACAACAAAATATCAAATCATCCCAAACTCCCAAACTCTAAAACTCTAAAACTATTTTTAAAATATACAACCAAACAAACCAAAAAAACAGCACTGCTAGGTAGCTCGAAAGGGAGCTAGGCTGACTGACTCGAATTCCAAAACAACGTCATTTTGGATTTTTTTTTCCTCTTTTCTCTCTAAAACATAAAGGGGAGAGAAGAAAGAGAGAGGAAAGAGAGAAAAGGAAGAGGAATCGAGAGCCACTCACCGGCACAGAGAGAGAAAGAACCACCCACTAGTGTCGCCCCTTCCACTTACCGGCACTGCCAGATCTATGTGTATACATAGATCTATGTATGTATACACACACACACATATATATATATATATATATATATGAGAGAGAGAGAGCTACCACCGGCACTGCCATCATCGTCTCCTCTATGTGTATACACAGACACAGATCTGTGTGTATACAGATTCCCCCTCTCTGTTTTTCTTTTTCTCTTTCTCCTCATTCTCTCCATCTTTTCTTCTTCTCATTCTCTTCCTCCTCATTCTCCCCATCTCTTTCTTCTTTTCCTCCTCATTCTCTCCATTTTTTCTCGAACTTCTCTTTCTCGCCTCTTCTCTCTTTCTTCTGTTTGTTTCAGAGAGGAAAAGGAAAGAGGGGAAAAAAAAAAAAAAAGAGTACCTAAAATTGAATTTAATGTAAATGATGTGAAAATACAAGAATAAACATATACATACATATATATATTGCAAAGATAAACACTAGGGGAATTGAATTAGTCATATGAATACAAAAATTATATTATAATGTAACTTTTATTTTAATAAAGTTAAAGAGATTATAATTAATACAAAAATTATATTATAATGTAACTTTTATTTTAATAAAGTTAAAGAGATTATAATTAATACAAAAATTATATTATAATGTAACTTTTATTTTAATAAAGTTAAAGAGATTATAATTAATACAAAAATTATATTATAATGTATTCACTGAATTAATATACTTTTTGTATTAATTATAATCTCTTTAACTTTATTAAAATAAAAGTTACATTATAATATAATTTTTGTATTCATATGACTAATTCAATTCCCCTAGTGTTTATCTTTGCAATATATATATGTATGTATATGTTTATTCTTGTATTTTCACATCATTTACATTAAATTCAATCTCTTCAAACTTACTAAAAGGGGTGTAATTATATTGAAATTGTAAAATTTATTGTATTTTTTGCAAATATAAGAGAAGATCAGTGTAATTTACCATTTTAAAAATTGACCCATCTGTTTTCTGAAAAGATAAATATTTTAAATTTATTTTTTCAATATAAGATTTTTTTAATAGTAATTTTTAAACGAATAAATGGATGACTATGTCAACTTTCACTGTAACACATTACTTTCTTTTTACCCAAAAAACAAATGTAGCACATTCAGAATAGTAATTTTTTTTGTCTTCCATAAAAAATGAATAACGAGTAATTTTCAATGTCGCCATCTACATTTGTAATCTAACTTATTTATATAAAGCTGCACATTGAATTATTAGAAGAATTCATGCAATAACAAGATAAAAAGGTTCAGATCCCATGTCCACATTTCCTATCCCAAGTCCCTTCATAAGCTGCCACGTGTCCATCAATAAATGTTAATTACATACCGTTTAACCTCTATCTTTGGCATAGTTTGGGAAGCTAGTGTTGGTGGGTTAGGGGTTAAAATAGTCACAAAAAATAAAATAAGTTATTTTAGTCACAAAAAACAAAACATCAAATTCAATCCATGATCATTACACATTTCTCACAAAAAAAGTCAAAAAAATCAAAAAATCCTTCCCAAACCAGGCTTTTTAACCCCAGACTAAAATAGCCAAAAAGTCAACTCACTTCCCAAACGCAGGCAAAATCACTATCCTTCTCTTTCTCCCATTTCTATTTTCTTTCACCTTCATCTCTGATCACACAACACAATCAACCATTTCTATTTTTTTTTACCTTCATCTTTGACCACAAAACACAATCAACCGACCACCTCTTTTACATGGCTAAAACCTTCTTCCTTTTTTTTTTAAATTGTCCCAAATAATAATCTAACAAATTTCAAAACACTAGAATAAAATATAACTAATTAGTGTAATTGAGACACATGTTAACATGAGCCATAATAATATCGTATATATATAATTTCTTAAGAATAAGTGCAGCATATATTTTTAAATATTGTTAATTAACACGTCTTCCAACAAGACTTTTAACAAATGAATCGAATAGTATTTGAATTTAAAATATTAGGTAAATTACATTCACCTCTTTTAAGATTTAAAATATATATATATAATAAATTTATAAATTTGATATAATTATATTAACTTTTATTTTAATAAAGTTAAAGAGATTATAATTAATATAAAAAGTATATTAATTCAGTGAATACATTATAATATAATTTTTTGTATTCATATGACTAATTCAATTCCCCTAGTGTTTATCTTTGCAAAATATATATATATATATATATATGTTTATTCTTGTATTTTCACATCATTTACATTAAATTCAATCTCTTCAAACTTACTAAAAGGGGTATGATTATATTGAAATTGTAAAATTTGTTATATTTTTTGCAAATATAAGAGAAGATCAGTGTAATTTACCATTTTAAAAATTGACCCATCTATCTTCTGAAAAGATAAATATTTTAAATTTATTTTTTCAATATAAGATTTTTTTAATAGTAATTTTTAAACGAATGAATGGATGACTATGTCAACTTTCAATGTAACACATTACTTTCTTTTTACCCAAAAAACAAATGTAACACATTCAGAATAGTAATTTTTTTGTCTTCCATAAGAAATGAATAACGAGTAATTTTCAATGTCGCCATCTACATTTCTAATCTAACTTATTTATATAAAGCTGCACATTGAATTATTAGAAGAATTCATGCAATAACAAGATAAAAAGGTTCAGATCCCATGTCCCCATTTCCTATCCCAAGTCCCTTCATAAGCTGCCACGTGTCCATCAATAAATGTTAATTACATACCGTTTAACCTCTATCTTTGGCATAGTTTGGAAAGTTGGTCTGGGTAGGTTACGGGTTAAAATAGCCACAAAAAATAAAATAAGTTATTTTAGTTACAAAAAATAAAATATCAAATCTAACCCATAATCATTACACTCCTCTCTCACAAAAAAAATCAAGCTAAAAAGTCAAAAAATCCTTCTCAAACCAAACTTTTTAGCCCCAAATTAAAATAACCAAAAAGCCAATCCACTTCCCAAACGCAGGCAAAATCACTATCCTTCTCTCTCTCCCATTTCTATTTTCTTTCACCTTCATCTCTGATCACACAACACAATCAACCATTTCTACTTTTTTTTACCTTCATCTTTGACCACAAAACACAATCAACCGACCACATCTTTACTTTCCTCTAAAATCTCATCTGTCTCCTCTGCCTCCCCCTCTTTTCCCCTCTCTTTTAATTTAAACCCAAATCAAACCCAAAAATAAATCCAATGCAGTGGTCGGATTTATGCTCTGTATTGCATGATAATCCAATTGAAAACATTGCATCTCATACCCAGTGACCAAGATTCCAAGTAATGGATGCATCCAATACCCATAGAAGCATAAGTCCAGCCAATAACCAAAAATTACCCAAGAGCCTAGCAATGTTGTCATCGTCTTTATCCATGCTTTCTTCGAAGAACAACCATCGCTGTCTAGAAACCCCCTAATCTGTCTATCCATCTTCTTATTTATTTTTTATTTTTTTAAAAAATTTGATTTTATTGACATGGGTCTTGATCTTGTTTGAGATTATGAATCTGAATATATATATATATATATATATTTAAAAAAAATCTGAAATTGGATTTATGTTTTCGGTCTTATTTGGGTTTGAAAAGAGAGCCAGAGGAGAGCGTGGCTGTGATGGCGGAGTGGAAATTAGAGTTGAAGAGGAAAATAAGTCACCCGACGGCGGTGATTTGTGGGGTGGAAAGGAAAGTAGATGAAACAATAGTAAGAGGAAGAAAGGAGGAGAGAGAGAATCCCTTACAGTGGTTTAACAGAGGTGGGCATGGGTGATAATTTTTTCAATTAACGGACACGTGGCAGCTTAGGAATCACGGGGCAGGAAGTTGAGACAGAAAATGGGTACAGGTGATCTCGACCCAAGATAAAAGATCAAGCATATGATTTTTTATTTTACAACAATATTTCACAAACTTGCTGAAAAATGAGATCAATAAATACACACATTTTTCCAATCTGTGCAAAACAGTGTGTCCAACGAGATGATTATACGACTTTCTAGGGTTCCTGAACAAGATTTTAGTTCAAGGTGAAGGGGAGAAGAGATAATTCAAGCACATTTTGAAGGTGAAGAAGCTGAAGAATGCATACAGCTCATGAAAGCAAGCTTGGCCCATTCTCAGCAGCTGTCCGGCTATTTTCAAACCCTTGATGCCTTGCCATTTGCATGTCGCGAGAGAAATTAGTTCTTGCTTTTGCATACGGAGCTTCTCTTGCTGCACAAATACAAAAGAGAGAATATATAACGTTATGCAACAGAGCAACTCGGCACCTGATTCATGCATGCTTTTTTGCAGGTTTTGGTGACGATTGTGATGGTGATTAGGTGGAAGGGGAGAAGACACATTATATAACAACCATCATTTTCTAATATCACATCTAATAACAATTTTAACTAGTGTTGTGAATAGTGTGCTGTACCAGGTTGTCCCGGGTCAAAGAGCGTGCACTCTGTTTCAGTCAATTTCTCAGGTTGTACCCATAAGTATTGGGAAATACTTACTTGCCAGCATGTAACCAGAATAATTAGTTTTTAGTGCCTTGCAGTATTTAAAAAAGGAAGAAAGTAATTAAGATTTTGAAAAATAATAAAGAGTCAAAAGTAAAAGTTTAAAAAGCAAGTAATATATTTGAACTACACCCTGTCTAGTTCCCATTTGATGGGAGTATGAGAAAGGATATATTGAGTACAAATCTAACCTTTGGCATAATTTGTCCAAAATGGTTGTTCTCAAGCTCGAACCCACAAGTTCATGGTTACTAGGCCGAGTTTTAACCACTTAACTAGTGGTCCCCTCATTTTAAAATTTTATTTAAAATGTGTTTAATCGACTGTACAAATTTTATTTGTAATAAGACACTTCAAAATAAGTAGCAATAATTTTAAAACGTTACGTTACACACTGGTACATGATATGTCTTGACTGATGGCAAAAAGGGTACGCTAGCCAGTATATATTGACAGGATGGTTTTTTTTTTTTGGGGATAAATGGTATGTATTGACATGGTAAGTTTCCCAAATTCTCAATGAGTTTGATAGCATACAATATTGTTTCCTAAATCTCAAATGAGTTAACTGCTAAGCTGACCTAGACACCCGGTTATCAAAAAAAAAAAAAAAAAATCAAATGAGTTTAGCCAGGATGTTGTTACCTGCAATTCTCTGAGCTCGAAGAATATTCTGCCGCCTTTTCCACCAACACATCAAGCAGGTGCAAACAAGCAGGAGTGCGACAAATGAACCTATTGCAATGCCAATTTTCGCACCAACAGAGAAGTGGGGCCCACACATCGGTAGTCCAGGAATACCACAGAGTCCTGCATTATCAGTAAAACTGGATGCATCCACAGTGAGTATCTGATGTTGAAGAATGAAGTCACAGATATCTTCTATTCCCTAGCGCTTATGTGTATTGTTAAGTGCTTTAAATATCGGCCTACATATAGTACTGGCCGTTACATATTTAGACTTCTGATATCCTTATTCATCAATATATTATATATCCGCCACTACTATAGATACTGTCCAAGATACATATCCCAACACCGTTATTTAAAACCATGTTTGTGACTATTTTCTCAAGTTTTATGCCAATATATAATGGTTTTAAACTGATACAGCGAGGGAGTTAAAAATTAAAAAAAAAAAGCCTGATACAGCAAGAGAACATACTTGAAGCTCGCTCTATGTAAAAGCCTTCCTCCCAGTGCTGCCGGGACTCCACCGGATAAGGAGTTGCTATTGAGATTCCTGCATCATGAAGATGGGTTCGAATTATATATTGCGTATTCTCATTTCATGGGCTAATCAACCACTTGAAAGATCTTACAGTCTTCGTAATGATGTCAACTGTCCGAGACTTTCAGGAATTGATCCATTGAAAAAATTATAGGAGAGGTCCCTGGAGTACAAATATATGTCTTCAGAAATTAAATTGATACGAGTGACTAAAAGTAAAGAGAGAACCACCCAATGCAGAATGAAAATGCATATGCCTACATTTTTCAACAAAGTGATTTCATTTCCTTCGACATCGTTATTGCACCAATTACACTCCTATATCTGACTTCAACATTCATTTATATGATTGGACCATCCTACGCTTCACACTGCTCTTTTCTAAGAAGGCTTTAGAGTAGGAATTTGAAAATGACCCATAGTTTTTTTCCCAAGCCTACCATTATTCCATGGCCATCAAATTTGATGTCATTAAACTAGCCTCTCTTGAGGTTTGGAATTGAGCCCTACAAGTTTAGCATAATTACATTGGGCTCCTTAAGGTTTTAATTCGCATAGCAGTTGGCCTCTTTTTACCAGTAATTCATTAGTCGTATGGATAAAAAACAATATTGTCATTTCTTTTCCACTTAAATGTATATTTTACATTATATATCCATGTGTCTTCTCCATACTATATGCATTAGTTCCAATCATTTTAGTCTTACTAAAAGAGAGGACGGTGTAATTATGTCAAACTTGTAAAATTTATTGTATTTTTTAAAACCTCAAGGATAGTTTAATTTATCCATTTATTTATGATTATCCAATCTTTTATGAAATAATAGAGTACATCACAAACTAATCTCAGCATAGTACAAGTCTAATTGACCAAGGTATAATAATAAAAAAACAGCCACGAGATGTACAACATTTCAATTAACATTCCAGTAATGAGTAAGCACTACTACATCTCACCTCAATGAATGTCAGTGATACAATGATGCACTCCTTTTCAATGTCAAATTATGTCATTTCAAAATTTCAGAACCGAGGCCAAAAGAAATCAACAGTAATGAAGTAAATGGCTGGTATATAAATTATCTACAGAAAAATATAAACTTTACTCACAGGGTCTCTAAGGTAGTTATTGTTCCAAGTGAGGATGGAATGGGTCCACGAATGCTGTTTCCACTCAAGTTTCTGTAAAGTCAAAAAATACACGATAGATAATTAGACCAAGCTAGGAAGATGTGTTTTGCTATTGGTAGCATCAGTATTACTTCATCAATGTCAAAGGAAGTCGGGTTAGCATTGGGATGATATACTGGTGTGCCCTTTGACCAAATATTAATACGACAAACAAAAGCGGCAAAGGCAAGAAACCCTAATTGGGTAAAAATGGAACTTCAAATTTTACAATTTTCAAAACGAAGTTAAGGAGGATATCTAGTAAATACTCACATGTTCTGCAGGTGACGTAGTTTGGAGATGTCGTTTGGCAAGAAACCCCTCAAACCTTGGTTGTCAAGACCACTGGACATCAAGACCATAAGTAGACAGTCAAAACCATGCAAACAAAGTAACGGCAAAGGTATTAAGATTTTAGTATATCAAGCATCAGATGAACATGAACCTTTCTATGGCCAACAACCTACTGGGACATATATACAATATCTTTGACTAGAAAACAAGATTTGAATATAGAACCACTGACTTATAAACAAATTAAAGTGACCTTATAATTTCCCTCTATAAATTTCCGATGAAAATTTCCATGTAAAATACTGAAATTACTAGTGGTAAAAAGGATTGTCTGCAAAAATGGTGGAATTTGGGTTGAGTAGCACAGGCAAGGAAAAATGGCGAACATAAATTATAGAAGTCTGGAACAAATTCTAAAGCATAGACTGCATGGTTAAGCCAATGCATGGCTCAAACATATTGGTTTTACATGCTACGAGAAAAGACAACCACAGACACTATCATACCATAAAGGCAAGTATCACCAATGTCATAAGCAGTCCACAGCCCAACAGGTTTTATCCCAAATCACCTCTTCTAAAAAACTCCATCCTCATTCCTTATGAGTAGGCCGTGGCAAGATGTGAAAGTAAAAGATAGTTTAGATTTTCATCCCGAACAGGAAGGATTCTATTAGTTCAGGAACAGTTGAAAACGCAAAGTATTGTATAGAACATCAGGAGAAGAAGGTACTAAACGATCGATCACAAAAGTTCTACTAAACGATCACATAGTTGGAAACAATTTCCAAGACAAACAAAACATAAAATTCTTAGGGGATGAAGAAGCACACTGAACAAGAAAAATGAAACGTGAAATGTTTCTCTAAATTAAATATTTAAACTCAAAATCCAGAAAAATGTTCCCTATATTTGGGCAATGGATCAATCCTTTGCACACCAAATACGATTATACCTTTTAATGTTTCGGAAGGAGACACATTTTGCATCTACATGTATGTTTTGCAGAGAATACTGGGGTCAAAACAAATAAAAACTGGTACCATGTTAATGGGATGACTAATATCATGAAAGTATTTGTTCCTCAATCATAGGGAAAAAGTGGCAAAACCAGACATGAAAGCAGTGGTGGAGGGCAAAAGTCTAATAATGTATTTTACTCATGCAATGTAATCATAATGACAATAACAATAACGATAAAGAAAACAAGAAAAAAAAAAAAGTGACTATGAGTAAATTTTATGACTCTTTAGACAAAAAATAGTGAAGTAAACAAGATATATTGAATTTGATGACCACGACACATACAATTGTTCTAATTTTCTTGGTATTAGTTTGGTTGAGTAATTGCAATAAATATTTTGTTATTATAAGCCACTTTTTTTTTAAGTGTTACAAGCTACTTTAGAATTTGTTGAATTCATAGAAAATATTTGAGCAAAATGGTTCACCTTTTTATTGAAAACAATTTAAGATTTAGTTCAAATAATGGTGCATAGGGAAAATAAAAAATAAAAAATAACGCTTGATACTATAAGAACTTCAAGGCAGATCCTTTCTTTGGCCCCCAAGCAAGACTGTCTAGCTCTGTCCCTACATGAAAGGCTAAGAACCTTAACTCAAAACAAAACATTTCCCTTCTAGAGGGCAATAATATTGTAATTTTCATTGCGAGTATTTATAGACATATGAAGTTAGACCTATAATTTAGTTGAAAATTCACTAACAGTAGATATTTCCCTTGAGAAATTTTATTAAACAGTTGGAAGGTATTAAACATGTCCCAGCCTCTATGGCATATTGTTTGGCTGTCAAGAAACATTAAAGTCCAAATTATGCGTATATAGAAGGCAGTAAATGATTGCAAAATGAAAAATGGCAACAAAACAGTCCATCAATGAAAGAAGTGATATGAAGCATAAGATCAAGAACAAACAGTCCATCAATGACCCATTTACTGCTAGTTCTGTCAAATTGACAATCTGCTCCATTCCATGGATGTTGTTGGGGAATGCATGGATCACCATTCCACCCAAATCGAAGAGGAAGCCTCAATGCACTCTTCAATGCTTGCAAAGCCCTAACTAAAATAAACAAAAGGAAGTCATGATGTTAAGATCTAATTTCAAAACATTATAAAAGGCACACTAAAAGGCGAATACAAATAAATAAATAAAAACAGAAATCAAGGACTTTCTTTTTGTAATGCACACTTGTGCTTCCAAAATAGGGCAAAATGATAAGTTGTTGACCACTAACTCATGTAAAAGCTTAAGCTACTAGAGAGGGGAAATCTTTATATTAATATCCTCAACATGCCCCCCCTCACATATGGTCAGACTGTCCCTCATAAACGGGTCAAACACGAGCAAGTATTATAGTTATTGGGTAGGTGGTGAGGTTTGAATTTGCTCTCATACCATGATAATTTTCTTTTTATGTTGAATGCCGAAAGTCAATTGTTAGTTGTTACCTCCATGCGCAACAAAGTGCTACCTCCATGCCACTAGGCCATGGGCTACCATGATAATTTATAATTGTTGACAACCAACTCATCTAAAAGCTCAGGGACAACTTTATTATTTATATCCTCAACACAATAAACCAATTTTAGATTGCTCACTTGCTAGATGAGCATTTAAAACCTTTCCTCAATTGTATTTTATGTCTATTTCCTATAGTGGATCCTTCCTTTGAATCTAAAATTTCATATTTTATATAGATATTATGAACTGTCTTCTTTCTAAGTTCCTAGACCAATTTGCAATCAGAATGAATATCCAAATAAATCAAGATTTTATGAAAGGCTTTTGCTCGCAGAGGTAAACATACCATAGATGTTTGAAGGAATAATGCAGAAAATTCTAGGAATGGATTGAAAAAAAAAAAAAAAAAAAAAAACACGACACAGACATGGACACACCGACACGGCAATTTTCAAAAAATACATGACACGACACGTGGGGAGACACACACAGAATATATAAGTGTATATATTTCTTATATGTCATATATATGAATATATCATTATAAGCCAATAAATAAATACAATATAACACTAATTTTTATAAATTGACATTAATTTTCTTTTATCATCGTATTCTAAATCATTTTGTTCAAATTTATAATTTGTTTATTTGTGTCTGATCAATGGACACGTGTTTAAGCAATAAATACATGTGTCTTCCAAGTGTCCAATGAGAGTTTGAGTCTAAATTCTTTTTTAAAAAATAGGACACGTATGGATGAGTGTTGGACATGTGTCGGGAAAGTGTCTGACGCGTGTCAGTGTCCGACACGGACACGCAACCTTTTTAGAAGTGTCCATGCTTCTAAGAATGGCAATAACCTCACTCAACATCAAATTTTCCTCAATCAGCCAAGTTGTTGATCAACATTAACTTTCCTCTAGCAGGCAAGTGATGGAGTTCTTCAGTTTAGTTGGTTTAAAAAATCATGGTATCCAAAATTGAAGGCGTCATCAAGACAAATTCCTAAACATCTCAAGTAGCGGCAGAGCTATTGCAGGGAGTGTCACCAGCAAACATTCTAACAAAGTAGCCAGGCTTAATACTCTCCACTGAATCGCTAAGATACAAATTAGACTTTCAAGGTGTTCATGGGTACCGTAGATAAACTTTCCTTGAGAAAGATATGCCGGTGTTTAATTGTGCATTTCATTTAGGATTTTAAGCAGTTTTGCACCTTGTCTGGTAGCCTTAGAAGGAGACAAAGACTTTCCTCCAAGATTTGGCTTTCCTACAGCAGCCTCTCCTTTTTACTTTTTACTTCTTTTTTTTTTTACTTTTTATTTATGGCATAATAAAATAGAACTAAAGATGCAGAATCTCTTAGCATCCAGAGTTGGTCACAAAGGTATTAAAAGTAGGTGAACTCTCGGCAGCACCTAAAACATAGTTATAACTTGACCAAACAATGGTAACAGGTTGAAACAAAAAGCTACTACATATTACACATCAGACAGATTTTGAGTAAAACCTCAGCATGATTATAAAAGCAGATACTCCTAATTCACTATTCAACAACACCTTTAGTGATATACTTATCAGAAGAAGAAAAACAAATCGAAATAAGATACCATGCTGTAATTAAAGTATCTTTTTGCATCACCATATAAAGCACATAATCATCATAAAAGAATGAAACAAAAGACTTACGACGCCTTATTAAAATAAATATGCCCACGTCAAAATACCAAATATTTTCAAAGTCGCATATAAAAGAAACACTCACATGTGCAATAATTAAGGAGGCTGATGTATTTACCTTCATCTGGTGAAGTTTTAGACTCAGCCATAACAACCTCAAAGATTTCAAAAGCATTGATTATGGCATGACCATTTGTAGGGTGTACGGTTATTGTCAAAGTTCTCCCATTAACAGCGACAGTCTTGTTCAATACAAGAGCAGCGTACAGACCCCCAGTCATGTTCACAATGTCAACATCTTGAAAAACAACAACACCATTTATTAGGATGTCAAATACCCTTTTCCCAACACCAGTGACAGAAGGATCAATCTCTGCAAAATGCAACCAAATGGAGTAGTTTCTATTGGGATCCACATCCATGGTGTACACTAATTCTGGCTGATTATCGGTACTAATAAGAGCTGTCTGATAAAGAGCTTCTGGATAAAAGTTTGGCGGATTTGAGGCCTGCTTGATGCCGTTTGTGGTACGTATAGCACGATCTGAACTTTGACCAAAAGTTATAATGGGATTCCAAAATCTGTCCCCACCCCAGTGGTCCCCACTATAGTCGACATCAAATTTTGGATCCTCAGCACCACAACTCAGTCGTTTATCTGTTCTTAGGATTGTCCCTTGACCCCACTGTGGACCAAAATAGTAAGCTCTATCATCAACTTGAAGAATTTCAATTGAAAGTATAGCTGGATCTCCATGTCCAGTGCCATGGAAGCAAAGAGAGACAGAGCCATCTGTAAGAAATACAAGGGCTTCAACAAATGCTTGCTCATCAATATTGTTGCTCCAACCTGACCTCAGAGAGTAAATCTGGGTTCCTTCGACAGAAACGTCAAACAAAGGTTCATTGTTGTCGAAATTCCGTTCTGTGACTACTCCAAAAAAGATTCTCACTGCATAGTGGCCTTTGGGTACTCTGTTAATATTATAGCAATTTTCCGGACCCTCCGATAGAGGGAAGTAGCGTAGTGTATAAAGCCGAGGAGAGATATTACTCGGGCGTGTTCCATTAGCAGGTACCCCTCCTGTATATGCAAAATCCTTGTACCAAAATGTATTGGTTGGTGGAGTATGAACATTGTTCCGAGCTCCACAACTTATTCGCATAGCATAGGGTGCTACAGTGAACAAAACAGACTTCAGAATAGAACACTAAAGAAGAACAGCCCAATAATAAGGAAATCCCTCCAATCCTCATATATAGATAGATGCTTCAGAAAACAAAAGAAATGTAGTACCAGTCAAACATTTTATTTTACTTTTTGTGCAAAGTACCAGTTAAACAGATTCATATCCTAAAACGCTCGACCTAATTGAGAATTGAAATCTCAGGATGCATTTCGGTGTCTCTAATTAGATGACCATAAAAATTCCTACTTCATCCATTATTAGGAAAATCTCTCTTATTCATGATATGATAAATCTCTCTCTCAGCGAAGTCATTTCTAAATTCAGCAAAGAATAAAGCTCAATGCAGATTCTGTACGAGCTCGCTGATGGGACACAGGATAAGGCTTTAGGATATCAGAAGAGCATAAAACATGTATTAAATCAGCAATAATGGAATAATGGCTGTTTAAGGCACAACTCATCCGATCGATTTTCTTTTTGTGTGCATACAGTGCACAAGCAGGCGTGTGAGCGTGCGTGTGTGGCTTTATCGGCTCCTAAAGAAAGAAATCAGTAAAGATAAAAACTTCATAATCATTTCTTTACTGCATTTACTCCTCAATAAGCCAATGCAACTCATAATTTCTGTCATTTCATTACCAATTTACAACAGTAATTCAAAATTTTCCAAATTATGCTCTTCCCCACCAAAATTTCAAACCCTTATGGCCACTGTTACTGAAATTCAAAAGCAAATTAACACGCGCGCACACACACACACACAAAAACCTACTCCTCCAAAGTCCAAACTAAACCCAATCAACAGAAAACGAATAGATTAATCATGTAAAGCGTCGATTCATGAGCATAAACAGTTCAATCTTTGAAATAACTTTAGTAAACTCATCAACTACACTAATCAATCAAAGTGCAATTGATAATATTAGTTCAAAAGCCCCAAAACAAGCCTATACTCTGCATTACAAATTGAAGACAAACATCAGAGAGAGAAAGGTAATATCTAACCATGTCGAGGATGCGAAGGACGAAGGAGAGCTGAGAAGAAGGTGAAGAACAGTAAGAGGTGTCTGAGCATCGTAGCTTCGAAATGCCTTGCTTCTCTCTCTCTCTCTCTCTATCTCTAAAAGCCTACTCTGCCATGTCTTCTTCTATCTCTAGCTTTTTCGAGAGAGAGAGAGAGAGAGAGAGAGCGAGTGAGTGAGCGGTGGCAGTTGAAGCTTAGCAATTAAATTAATTAATTAATTTTTTTAAGATGACCCGTGAAAGAGGGAGTGTTCTTGTACTTGTGAGGCTCAACCAAGTTAATGCTGCACTTTCAATATCTAACTTGTTTGGTTTAAATCTTTAAAATTTACTTTTTAAAAGATTAAAATTTTTTACTTTTCGTATTTTTTTATTTGTATGGAATTTTTTTTAATATTTTGAGTGATTTTTAAATACATTTAAAAAATATAATATTTATGAAAAAAATTTAAAAAATTCATTAAATATTAAAAAAATATAAGAATTTAAGGCTTTGCTTGGTTGTGATTTGTAAATGTGTTTCTACACGTGCGTTTGAGTATGATGTTTGGTTGTTGTTTTGGAATCAATTTTCACGAGCTCTACAAAGAGCTCTGTGCATCAGCCGCTGCTTTTGTGAAAATTTTGCCCAAGGGAAGACCGCCCGGATGTCCTTCGAGTCATCCGCCCGGACGTCCTTAGGGACATCCACCCAGATGTCCTCCGCTGTACGGTTTATTTTATTTTATTTTTTTTTTGCAATTGATTTATATAATTGTTTTTTTTAATTTTTAATGTGCTTTAAAATAATTTTGAGTTGTATGTTTAGTTAGGAGTTGTAAATTTTTGTATCACATATCAAATATCACATCAACAATTCCCCACTCAAATCAAACCTCTTTTCCAAAACTATTTTCAAAACTCTTTACCAAACAAATTTTCTACACTCAAATCATAATTCTACAACACACAAACTCAAAATACAACTCATACTCTCAAATCACATTTACAAAATACAACCAAACGCAGGCTAATACTTTTTTGTATTCTTATATAGTTATTAATTTTTTAAAATATTTTTTTACAAATATTTACTTTTTAAATACATTTAAATAAGATATATGTAAAACATTAAAAAAATTACTTAAAATTTTAAAAATATTCACTAAAAATAAAAAATTTTAATTTTAATTTTCAAAAAATTAAAATCAAACACACTCCAGGAAAGAAAACACCTACATCTAGTAAATTGGTTCCTAATTGCCATATGTTCTTTAATTTTCAATTACTGTTTCGGCTATTTCCCTTATATGTATGCCTGTGTAATATTAGGAATTTCAAATAATTTATTAAATATTTTATTAAACTTTTTAGGGGTTTCTTTTTTAAGGTCCTTGGTATTATGATCTTATAGCATAAAGGACACTCAATATTTTTATAATGTCTAAAATCCCTCAACATCAATCTAGAGAAAATTCGACCAGAGAAAATTCAACCAGAGAATTTCTCTCCAGAGAAATTTAACTTCGGAATTTCTCTCCAGAGATATTCTGAATTTCTCTGGATTCTCTGTTTGTGTTTTAACCAAATTTATCTGGACTTCGGAATTTCTCTCCAGAGAAATTTTGAATTTCTCTAGATTCTCTGTGTTTTGAACAATTTTCTTTGCACTTCGGAATTTCTCTCCAGAGAAATTCTAAATTTCTCTGGATTCTTTGTCTGTGTTTTATTTTGTCTTTTAAATCTTTCTTTTAGCTTTCTTTGATGTAGGTAATGGCACATTTGGTGAAATTTTGATCCTGACGCTATTATTAGTAGGCAGGAAATTTTGTAAAAGATGAAGTTTAGCATGCCCTTATTATTGTGATAAACAATGCTTTGAACCTCCATGGATATACAGTACGGTTTCTGTACAGAGCAGTCCAAACATCAGGTGAACAAGTACTTTGCTTTTTTTTTTCTTTTTTAGGATAAGATTTGGTATGGAAGTTCTATCATCTTGAGTAATTAGTAAAAAATGATTTTTGATGTTTTCATCAGGAAAATCTTGTATGAGTGGCAGTTTGGTGCATTGGAGAATATGGTGAAATGTTGGTCAATAATGTTGGAATGCTTGATATAGAAGAACCAATGACTGTAAGTTTGCTTCTACAAATTTTTCCCGACTTCAGCCCAGGCATTGCGTGACGCTGCGTTCATCGACTTGTCAGTGGAAGCTGCGTCGGCGGAAGCTTTGACTGCGGCAGCCACATCCATCACCGGAGTTGAAATCGTTCTGTGAGAACATGGACGGTTGGGACTAAGGAAGTACATGATCGAGCGGCCCAAAGTGCAGAATTTGATTAGGGTTGAGTTGCCGGATGCCTTGCGGAGAGCTCCGGACGCAACGGTGATGGTTCTGGACGCGATAGAGGGGTTCTATGTGGACAATCAACTGGGCTGAATTTCTCTGTAATAGATGGGAGGGACCTTAGACATCAAAAAATAATATTGTGGATGTCTTCCATTACTAAAAATAGGAGAGGGACTTTAGACTAATTTTCCCAACTTTTTATATAGATATGGGACTCACACATATATAAATTTGTATAGGTTCCACACTAATGTAAGAAATTTAATAAAAAATTTAATAGATTATTTAAGATTCATAACATTTTCTTTTCATTATTTCACGACAAAGGCAACGTGATTGCTGACATAAGAAGGTGACAAATAAAAAATAAAAATGTTAAAACATCTCAAATATTTTCAATCTTAAAAAAAAATATTTTAAATATTTTATTAAAATTTCTACCAATTAATCACATTAATGTGAGTTATACATATGTGTAATGGGAGTGGCATGTTAAAATTTTAGTAAAATATTTTGTATTACTAATGTTCTACAAAACAATAACAGAAAGATGCAAAAGATTGCTAGGAGTTTCTATTTACACACACCACTTTCCCTCTCCTCACACACTTAATGATATTTTTTTTATTACATTTCCATCCTAAAATAAAATTATGAAAATATCCCTTTCTTTTTCAACCAAAACCCTAACCCTAATACCCAACATAGTCCCCCCCCTCCTGTCATCTCCTTCTTCAACACAGTCCCTCCATTCGTCGCCTTCCTCTTCTTGAATCGAAGCCCCACGCCACCCCATCATTCGTCGCTCACTCACACTCTCCACTTCCCCCGTAACCCCTCACTTCGAAACACAACACCACCGCCGCAACAGCTCCCACCCCTTCACGACCCTCAATTCTGCACACCCACAGAGAGAGAGGAGAACCTAAATTTGAAAGAAGACTCATTTTCTCACCATTCGGACTACCAGTATCGAAAGAATCGCCTCCATTTGGAAATCAACCATCGAGCCAATGAATTTGGTTCAACCATCAACATCCGAACAAAACATATTGGTTCGACTATCAACCTCTGAAACCCCATTTTCGAGAGAGAGAGAGATCGAGGGGATGAGGTGAGGGTCGCGGTAGTGTCACCAATGGGTAGAGGAAAGGGTGGGGATGGCAACTGGAAGTGAAAGGGAACGGTGGTGTTGCGTCGCCGCCGGTAAGGTGGTTGCCGGCAAGGTGGTCGCTGGTGTATGGATTGGGAGTGTTGAAAAGTTGTGTATATGAGGATATAATTGGAATAAAAGTGTGTAATGAGTAATTTTTTTTTTTTTTTAAGGTGTGTGAACTGAGAAGGATGTGTAAAAAGTGGAATAGGTGTGTGCAAATAGAAGCTCCCAAGATTGCCAAGTGAGAAAGAAGGTATTGGGAATGAATTTACATCAATGCCCTTTACAAACAGGGAAGGATTATAACATGTGGTGTTGCTCCCTTACCTTTTGAAGGAGCCATTTTTTTTCTGGAGTGGTGTCGGATTTGATATTAAATATTTTGAAGTGATTTGTTATATTTGGATATTAATTATAGAAGCATTTTTTCACAATTTTTTTTTCACCTACTTATATTTCATTTAGTTCATATTATTTTTTTTATATTCTAATAAGTTTTATGAGTGACATAGTTATCAAAATACTCCTAATAATATTCATATTTAAAGTGTGAATGTTCCGTGATGTGAATATTCACACTGTCGATGTGAATATTCACACTGTTAATGTAAATGTTTACACCGTCAATGTGAATATTCACATTATAAAATATAAATGTTCACATTATGAAATTGCTAACCATTCAAAAAATATATATAAGGGTAAAAATATCTATAAAATACTTTAAATATGAGAATTGGAATTTCGTAGATCAAATGTTCAAATTGGGACTTATTGGAATACAAGAATATCTTATGGATTAATTAGAATACAAACATTTGAAAAATGATTTTTTAATAAATCTCCGTTAATTATACGTCATACAATATGTCAATTTAGAATCAATTTTAAAAAAAAATTATATTCAATTTTAGGAAGATAATATGATCAGCATAAATGAAAATATAAATGGGAGTAAAATACTTAAATTGACATGGATGTTGTAAAATATATATATATATATGATAAAAATAAATATTAAAAAGATATTTTCAAATTTGTAAAAATTCTTTCTGACCTGTTAAAAGATAAAATTGTAAATAAAAAAAAATTATTTCCCTCACCAAATTAACTCTTAATTTTTTTAAAAAAAAATTCTAAAATAAATTTCTAAAAATCAAACCAAACATGACCATAATCTTTGAGAAACAAAATGGTGAGACATAAAACTTTATTTGATTTTGTTTGATTTATTCTTTTCCCACGATTTTAATTCCTCATCTGAAAGAAGTGACTTTTTTTTCTTTTCTTTTCCTCTTTTTTTTGTTTATTTTTGTTTATTTTATTTGTTTTAAAATCCAATATCATATTTACTTCTTGTGAAGCTCATTTATTTCCTCCTACCTTGTATTCTGCAACAATAACCTCTCATCAGGTTATGCACTACCAATTTTCATGGCCTCTTGCACTTGCCAACTTACCAATGTTCATGACCAATTACCCAAAAAGGGCCTCTCTTTTTTTAAATGGGGCTGTGTACAACAAAAAAATTCAACATTTTCCAATTCATTCATTTTGGTTATTTGCCATATAAAAAAAAAAAAATGAGGAAGTCAAGATTTTCTGAACTTTAGCTGAGAACTCCTCTTTAAG